ATGCCCCCTAATGGGCTTCATGGAGTCTCTCTTCCCCGAAAGGCCCCTAGGAATACCGCAGCTGGATCAGACCTGGGGGCCGTCTGATCCAGGCCCAGGGGCTCAGAGGAAGGTGTCTGACCCTCTGCCTCCCAGGTTAGGGCTTAGTTTAGTTCTAGGACCTGACCCATGTCAGGAGGTGCCATTTGGGATGTGCAGACATCATTTCTCTTTTCCCTCCTGCTGGCTTTCTGGGGTGGTGGGCAAGCTTCCGCAAAGAAAAGCTTTTGTCATGGGCCCAAAACTTTGCTCGGATGCTGAATCAGTCCAGCATCCTCTGGGAGCTTATAGTCAGGGGCTGCCCCTGCAACCTTGACCGTCCAGAACACGGTTTCTCACGTGTCTCCTGGGGTCTTGGAAAGAGATGTTGTTCTAGGGGCATGGATGGAGCTGCAGTGACTGACATCCTGGCTGTGAGCTCCGAGAAAGTGCCAGCCAGCACTGGAAGGGTCGCAGCATGAGGGTAATGTGCTCTGGGGGCTTTCCCCATGGAGGAGGCCAGCAGCCCCATTTTGCACTAGCTGGAGCCTGTGTGCCCCCGGTGCCCCACAAAAACTCTTGCCAGACAGATGACAGGAGGGGACCCAGGCACAGAGGAGAAGTGACTTGCCTGACGTCACGCAGCAAAGCATTGTCAGAACCAGGCCCAGAACGCGGGTGTCCTAAGCACCACCCCGATGCCCTGTCCCTTGGCCTGTGCCAGCCAGCAGTACCATGGCTGTGTGAAACTCTGCAGCAAGCTCAAGCAGTGAGAGCAGCTCTGGCTGCCCTTCGTTGCCGAGAGGTTGTTCCTTAGTGACCCTCGGTCCGGCCGCAGGCAGCGCCTCCGTTCCACGTGGGATGTAGGCTGCTGCAGTGGCTGTAGCTAGGAAAGGCAGCTAGAGATGGGTGTTTTGCAGAAATCCCCCTCCCCCTTGCTGTTGTTCTTTGAGACGAGGCAGGTGGCTGGGCCTTTATTGAGATTGGAACGTGTGCTTCTCTCCCAGAGGTGCTGACGGTCTTCACTAGTGACTCCCACCCAGAAGGGACACTGCTCTGTTTGACACAGGACGACTAGAAAGGTCCTCACTCTGTCTACCCCACTTCCATACTGTCTAAGCACCTCACAATCCTTGGTCTGTTTGTCCTTCTGGTGTAATGGCCCCGTGAGGCAGGGCAGTGCTGCCCCCCTTCGGTACCGATGGGGAACAAAGCCGAGCGAGATGGGCACTTCCCAAGGTCAAGCAGAGAGGCTGTGTCTGAGCCGGGCCTGGCACTAGAGTCCCAGACTGGCGGCCTAACCCTGGGCCCGACCTTACTGCCAAAGGGCTGCTGGAGCCCCATTGCGAATACTGTGCCAAGGGCGTGGGCACAGTGTTTTTCCCTCTGTGTGTTTCTCCTTCAGTAATATGCTCTTCATGGCCCCTGAAAAAACCAGGATGTGGGAAGCTGACGTGCAAGCTCCAAAGTGAGGCAGAGAGAACAGACTTCAGTAGTCAACAACAACAGGAAGCACTGACCATTGATGTTGTCTAATCTAATGCTGGTTTCCTGCCACCCCCTGCTTTGGGGTTAGCCAGAGCCATTAACTGAATTCCCTCTTGGCGGTTTCTGTTGACAGGACTCAGTTTCATGTCTCTGACCAGGGAGGAAAGAGCTTGTTTACCTCACACTTTCATTACAGTAAACTGAACAAAATGCAGCTGAGTATAATTGAGGGCAGCAGCCTGTCAGGATAAATTAGTAAAGGTTGTTTCACATCCCCACAGCCAGAGACTGAATTGTTTGGGAGGATTTTTCACACACTCCCCTACTGACCCTGGACATGTGACTATAGGGAATTGTGACTCCGTGCAGATGCTTATAAACCCTGGTGATAGGAACCTTCCTTGTCCTCTGTGTGGAAAGGGATAAGGAAGAGGTTGGGTACAGAAGTACTCGCTGGTATATTGAGCAGAGACCTGCTTGCCAGGGTTGGCTGTGTATGGTGGATGATCCCTGTATTCCAACTCAGCTGGCAAATGTTACTTCCAGTGGAAAATTCTAGGCTGTGTCTACACTGGGCCACTTATTCCGGAAAATCAGCTGCTTTTCCAGAATAAGCTGCGAGCTGTCTACACTGGCCCTTGAATTTCCGGAAAAGCAACCATGCTCTACTGTACAAAATCAGCCGCTATTCCGGAAAAACTATTCTGCTCCCGCTCGGGCATAAGTCCTTATTCCGGAACACTGTTCCGGAAAAGGGCCAGTGTAGACAGCCCAGTAGTCTTTTCCGGAAAAAAGCCCCGATCGCGAAAATGGCGATCGGGGCTCTTTTCCGGAAAAGCGCGTCTACACGGGCCACAAACGCTTTTCCGGAAAAAGGGCTTTTCCGTTTTAAGCATTTCCGGAAATTCATGCCAGTGTAGACACAGCCCTACAGTGTCTTGAGAGCATCACATCTGCTTCCTCAAAGGCTGCAGCCAGGCCCAAAGTATTAGCTAGCAGCCAGATTTCTATTGCTGGATTCCTCTAAAGCTAGGCAGTAGTCACATGTTAGCAGAGTAACGTTTGCTTTAATTTAGGGAATTTCTCTCAGGTTTTTTTTTCAATGTTAAACCTAAGACCAGTGTGGCTGCTGTTGAAAACATATGCTTGTACCCAGCACAGAAGTCCCTGACAGTGCAGCTGCAGGCTGTAATCATACGAAAGCTTTAAATTCTCTGTTTTGCTTGGATGTTCATTATTTTTCTGCATGCATATGTTTGGTGCTTCCGTGCCACCTTTCATCCAAGCCTGCTTTTGTAAGCAGGAATTAATTAGCCTGTAAGGTGCTTAAGTATCATTACATTATGCTGCATGTTCATTGCAATGACAGGCCTTTCAGCCTCCGTATGGCACCCATGGAATTGACTCTGCTTGCCTGACTTCAGCTCCTGTGTCTTAGTGCCAGGCCATTCCCATCTTCCCCACATCTCATCCAGCTCCTGGTGGATGATATAAAATGTAGACTGGGGAGGTTGAACAAGGTTTTATTTCTCTCACTGTTAAAGTGGGACGACCCCCTTTAATTCTTCAGTTCCAGGTACAATTTGTGGTACGCAATCTGTGGCTGTTCAGATTACTGTGAGTGATGTCCTCTTGTATGCAAGGACTGCCAGCCAGGCAAAGCTGGTGTTACATTTAAGCCAATAAAAGAAAGGTATCTCCACACTCTGTCCCCCCCCCCCCATAAAGCTCAAATATTAAACTGAAGTTTAAACTGTAGAGTCTGCTGTAAGAAGTTGGATTAGCCACTGAGCTTGGGGGGGGGGGGGAAGCCCCTACAGAATGCCCCCCCCCAACTCCATCCCTAGCAGAAGCTGTGAGACAGGGGAGGCCCCCTGCAGCGGCCTCCACCCCTCACCCTGTCCCCAGCAGAAGCCATGGGATGGGGAAGCTACCCCAGCAGTCCCCCAACCCAGCAGAAGGTGCAGGGCAGTTCTGCCTGGGGAAGGGGAAAACTCCTAGCTAGTCCCCAAACCCATCTCTGGCAGAGGAAGCCCCCAGTGCCCCAATCCTGGTCCCCTGCAGAAGTATTGGGGGTAATAGGGGAAACCACAGCACCCAGGTCCCTGCTGCAGCCTGTGGCATGGGTCCAGAACTTCTCTACTCTCGGGGCCTCAGTGAATGGGAGGGTGCAGCAGTGA